GGTCTCAGCCATGGATTACAGTACCAGAGACCTACGATGGTCTCAGCCATGGATTACAGTACCAGCCATGAGTTCCATTGATAGTGGTAGAAGTCTGCACACACCAGGTGCTGGGAAATCAAGAACAGGGAGAAATTCTACTTTCTTTGTCATGCTTGGTCCCAAGTCATCCTCTTTACCTAACTGGGCCAAAGGCAAGGCACTCACTTCAGATGCAAACTTAAGGAGACCCTGACACTCAGGAATTAAGAGAAATTATATTTTAATGCCATGCTTTAAAAATCAGAAATAATGTGAAAGCCTGTAATGAGCATAATATTAATAATTAAACTAGGAATGAGATCAGTACCAGTGCTATGCTCTGGCATATTCAATCAAGTCAGGAAAGTTGGGCCTATCTTGAACAGGGAACATTCAGATATCTCTGAGTCCACTTTGAATTTCTAGAAACTGGGACCCAGGGGTCCTTGCAGAAGCTGACAGTGTGGTTGCTGCTGGGATTGTGAGTGGTAAAGTCCTTTGTGTCTGAATCAGCAGTCACATGTGTTCTGCTTTGTCCCTGGCACCTTAGCAGGTTACTTTGGTAGATTGCTAATTCCACATTTTTTGATAGTTTCTACCTTTCCTAACCCTCTCAAATGTTAATACTTAGTTGCAGCTGCCACAGACTAACCAAGCAGCCCAGCCAATCTCCCTGTTCTTGTCTCTGCTTGCATCCTTACAATGTGATACCATGACTTCAGTCACCTAAAAATCTTATAATGGTTTCCTTTTCCATAGAAAATAAAATTTAGGGCTGGAGAGATGACTCAGTGGTTAAGAGCACTGACTGCTCTTCCAGCGGTCCTGAGTTCAGTTCCCAGCAACCACATGTAATCCCTTGTAGTCAGTAATGGGATCTGATGCCCTCTTCTGGTGTGTCTGAAGACAGCTCCAGTGTACTCATATAAAATAAAATAAAATAAAATAAAATAAAATAAAATAAAATAAAATAAAATAAAATAAAATAAAATATCTTTTTCAAAAAAGAAAATAAAATTTAAATTCTTTGCTGTGTCCTACAAAGCCCTATATGATTTAGCTCCTCAGCTAACCTATTACATCAAATAACTCTTATGCTTATGTGCAAATAACTCTTATATTATTAAACTGTAGTTGTCCACATCTTTATACATGAACACAGTCTGCAGAAGAGTATTGGTTCTTGTGGTTTCTTCTGCCTGGCTTATAGAATTCAGAAGCTTGGCTACTTCTCATTCTACAGTAGACATTGTGCAATACGCCCTAGCTAAATGAAGGTGACAATTATTTTAAAAATAATTTAAGATTCAATATACATGTTTAAATTTTAAGATAATCAATATGAGAGAATTTGGATCTTCTTGTGCTTGAACCATATCAGAATTCTGGGGTAACATCTGAAGTCTCCGTCTTCGCTTTTCACATGATCTAGCTATCCTATAATTTCTAGAGTGTAGGGGAAGGTCTGGCGTCTTCAGATAGTTCTTTCTAGTTAATGCTCTAATGTACTGCTATCAAAAAGGAAAAGTTCAAGCTTTTAGGCATGTGAAACAAGTACTAACTTCTATAAGATCAAAATTTTGTTACTTAAGATTTTATTTTTTGCTTTACTTTAAAAAGCCAGCAGCGCTTCTGTAGATGAGAAGATGAGAAGTTGAAAGTCAGATGTCTAGGGCAGCAGGATTATTGTCACCACAACTGGCCTTGATTCCTATTTAAAGGAGGTTCAATAGGGACACTATAGTAACAACATAAAAAAAAAATCACTTGTCTATTCTGATGCATGGGGTGATGTACGTATAAGGACAACAGTTGAGGATAACGCCTTTAAAAATAGTAACAATAAATAAAATATCCAATAAAAAAGTCAAAAAATAGTAACAACACTTCTTCATTTTACTCTAAAACTCTGACTTTTCAAACTCATGGTTTACATATTTTGCCTTTGATTTTGCTTATCAAATCATGATACTACCTTTCTTAAGGTTTTTAAAAGTTTTTATCGGTTGTTTTAAAATGTCTGAGTATTAAATAACTCTGAACATTACTCTAACCTTGAACTTGCATTCTTAATTTGTATTGATTCTTATGTACTCCACAGGTTTCAGCCATATAGTTGTGATAACTTGAGTTAAAGACAGTAACCTTTGGGAGGCTCCTGATCCCAAGCTTTAGTTGTTTTGTCTTTTAAAATATTATTTTAGTTGGTGGAAATTACATACACATACACACACACATACACACACACACACACACAACATGTATAATTACACACACATAATATATATGTATGATATCATATATCATATTATATATAATTATATACATATATATATATATTAAAACATAATGAATTAAATTTCTCATATATTTAGGTTAATCATGGTGCATATATATAAAACATATATTGAAATATGAAAACAATATAGAATGATAAATCAAATTCATAACTACATTTTACCTCATATACTTACCTTTTTTATGGGGAGAGCTTTTTTTTTATATTCCCAAGAATGCAATCTATTGCTAGCAACAATACTCACCATGATGTGCCATGGACACCTTTGTAGGTGTTAGTTAGTTGGTTTGTGTATTTGTTTGTGTTTTCCCTGTCTAAGGTCTGGGATTTGCTGTGCTTTCCTTTTGACACTCAGGTTTCTAGATCTTGGGCAATGTTGTAATTACTAGTAAACAGAAGATTTGGGGACAGTTATTATCTATGGAGGACTTCATTTTCTGAAATCATGCTATAACAAGGAAACAGGCCTATGATCTATGATGTCTGAAAAAAAAAAGAAAATAAAAACTAACTGCTAGAAAAAGGAAAAAGTCTCACTAAAGACACTACAGTTAGAATGATTAAAGTAAAATTGACTCATGAATGGCTCAACAACTTGGGAAATTATGATGGAATGATGACATTTTCCCCATAAGAGATGCTAATGACATGGAAGTCCATAAATCTGAGTTGAATGTAGGACTCTATAAACAATGACTTAATTAGGTTACCCATGCATATACAATAAAGTTTGTAGCTATTCAACAGCATGCACAGTATGTTTGTATCTGTAACAAGTCTTAGGAATCACATAGCAGATTGTATTTTAATCCATTATAGGGAAGTAATGAAACATGAATAAAAGTTTTAGATTTATACTGATCTTGACCTAATGCTGCAATAGTACTTTAATTTATAGATCCATCTCTTGTAGACATCCTCTTGTGTCCAATTTCAAGTGTTCTCATTGGGGTTTTAGTGACTAAGTCTCATTCTCTTGTCAATTGCCTTTTAAATTTAATTAAGATGTTTTTATGTGTATGTATTATGTTTTATTCCTTACTAGATTATAAACTACTTGAATGGCCCATCAGTTGTAGCCATCTTCCCTTCTGTGCCTGCTGCATGACTCTGAACAAATTAAGCACTAATTAAGTGTCTTAAAAGCATAGTGAATTAATTTTCTCACATCATATTGAGGTTAACTATGGCATTTGTAATTATTTGATTCATCCTTGAAATGAAATAAAAGGACTCTATCCTACCTTCTACCCAACAAAACATTGATAAATGAAAAGAACAAAAGAAAGAAGAAAGTCAAACTAAGAAAAAGAAGAAAACATCCACAGACTTACTCTGTAGTCACTTGATGTCACATAAAAAATAGGGAGGAATGCCAACCAGATGATGCAGGTGGTGTACATGGTGAAGCCGATGAACTTGGCTTCATTGAAGTTTTCAGGACACTTCCTTGTTTTGAAGGCGTACACAGTGCATAGAATCACCAGGACCACATCATAGGTCAGAGAGATCAACATGCTGGAATCTCTGACATTGCATTTTAGGATGACTGTTTCCCGCTTCTCTGGAAGGGTGTATCTTCTGGTACCTGGAGTCTCCAGGATAAGCCACACAGACACCATCACAATTTGCACCAGTATCAAACCCAGGCAGATAAAAACCTGAGAACTGGGGCTGATGAATTTTGGCCTCTGAGCGCCATTCTTGACCCCATCAAAGATGCGAGCGATGCAGTTTGTCTTGGTCAGCAGAGCTGAATAACAGATGGCAAAGGACGTCCCAAGCCCAAGTCGGCGCAATGCACAGATGACAGGCGATGGTTTAGCGATGAAGAAGAATGTCATGCAATAGGACAGGCTAACTCCAAATAACAAGATGTAGCAGAGTTCTCGGCCTGATGCTTTGACCAAGGGTGTGTTGTTGTGCTTGATAAAAACAGTTATAACTATGCATGTACACATAAAACCCAGGCAGGCAATGGTGACTGGGCCTATTGCCCAGGCATCTTCCCACTTGATGTAATCCTCTGGAAGGTTGTAGCATCCAGATAAGTCTGCAGTGGGCCACTGACCAGGGCCACAATCCATGCAGGTGAACTCATCAATCAGGTATTCATAGGGCTCACAGGGGATGCAGATCCAGCAGCAAACATCCCCTGGCTGCATGTTTTTCATTTCATTGGGGGCACAGGGATCACTGCACTGGGAAGTGGGGACTGAGTTCCGGGACCAGTGGATAGAGTCCACATCTAGAGATAAGGTTTCTGCCCAGTGGCCAACCTTTAAGTAGGAATACTTTCCACCTATACGCTGGAAGTTGAACACGTTGTATCTTCCCATCCCGTCTCCAAAAGTGTCAAACTTCACAATGCTGTCTGCTCCTTTATTCGGGTTGAATGGAGCTTTGATACACAGAATGAAAGGAAAGAAAAGAACAATTGTTTAGGTGCCTCATATGTCATCAGTCAATTACTTGCGAGTATGCTCAGCTGAACTGAAGAAACAGAAACTAGAGATAGCAAGGCTGACATAATTTACCACTTACCATCAAAAGCCACACATCAAAAGCTTCCAGAGTGCTTACAAATTCATAAATTTACTCACTTCACATTGCTGAGCGTCTAACGGTGCCATGCACCAGTGATAATAATAATGAGCACAATACAGTGCTGCCTTCAAAGAGCGTGTTACATAACAGAAAAGCATTGGCAAACAGTTGTGCTCTGTGTGACGTGACATGCTATTTTCTTTAAAGCTTTATAACAGGTATTAGGCAGAACTTCATGTGTCATTTCATACTTATTTACATACAACCACTAAAATTTTTACCATCTTAAATATTTTCTTGACAATATAAAATTAATAAGAAGAAATTTTCTCCTTAAAATGAGATTCAATATAAATGTATAATACACGCATTTAAATATTTCTGATGAATCACAGAAAAAACCTCGAAATTTATTTATAGTCATTCTGTAGCTTTTGGCCTATAGTGGTGTTATGTAGTCCAGGCTAGCTTCCAACTCGTAGCATTTCTCTACCTCAGTATCTTGAATGCTGAGGTTACAAGCATGTACTGATGTTCTTGGCTAAGTATATTATATGCATAATAGTAGGTAGAATATTTGCAATTGGGCATTACTTTAAGTGTAGAGGGCAGGGCTCTCAGACAATAGTATGTTCTAGATCCTGTCCTGCCAAGTCCTGCATGACTACTGTGGAAGGGACAGTGTGACACAGTTCTCACCCCTAGAATAGCAGGGCAAGGGCTTCCATGTGTGTTGACAATTGTTAGTCATAAGGCTTGTTGGTGTAATAATATACACATTTTCATCTTCCTCCTTCAGGGAATGACCTCCCTGTTAAGGTTAATGACTCCTTGATAATTAGAATCAGCAATAGTCCTGGAGGTGAGGGTGTGAGTATGTTCCTCAGCAAAATGGTAAACGCTATGACTTTCAGGAGAGCCCTTAAGGCTGTGGGAAAGAACTCTCAAAACATGAGGTTAAAAACATAATTTCTCAACCTTGCAACTATGAAGTTGCAATATGAATTATACAAGGGGCTTCATGGACCCAAAAGAACAGAGGAAGCTGCACTATGAGCCACTTTATCAGAAAGATACTAAGGAAGGAGATAAAGGGATTGTAGAGGGTTGTGCTTGCTGGGCAGGATTCTACCCAGCTACTTATTGTTTGTGTTTACAAAGGAAGGCAGATTCCTGAGGCTCCTGCTGAGGTCAAGGCCAGCCTGGGACAGAGTTAGTTTAGGTCCAGGTGTGGTGGAAATGGTGATCTCAGAGATTAGTCCCATTCAGCTAGCTTATTGCCTGTGCTTACAAAGGCAGGCAGAGCTCTGAATTCAACTGCTATGTTAAAAAATTGTACTTGTTATCATTTTTAAGAATTAAGCGACTAAAGTCATAGAAAACTGGTTCATGGGATAATGAAAAGGGAACATAGAATAAATGACTGAATTGTTATATAAATAAAAGACTGGGCTTTGGTCTGCAAGAGAGAGTTACCCAGAGAGATCTGCTTAGAGAGCTCGTTTAGAATTTTTTCTAGCATGAGAGCTGTCTTGAGCAGAGAGCCTTCTTAAGCAAAGAGCTGCATCAAAACAAACTACAGAGCTGGAGCTATCCACAGAGCTATCTGGAGAGCAGTCTTGAGCAGAACACAGGCTGTCAGCTTTTACCCGTGATTTGACTTCTAGTCGTTCTTTCGACGCTCCTGAACATACCCCTCCTCAGAACCTATCTCCAAGCTGAGGCTGGAACTTGGCACTGTTCATTTTCTATGCCTTTGGAAAACGTCCAGAGAGAAGCTGGTCTGAACACCAGAACTTTTTCCTCTTTCCTAGCTATAATTGATGATGTGTCTACTGTCACCATGAATAACTTCTAAAATGAATTTCAATACAATTTATTCTTAATACATCATGGTTTGCATTTATTAGATGTCTCAGAAGTATTACACTGTAGTAATAGAGCTCCACTGAACTAAGAGGGGAAGCTTTTCTCCTTAATAGCTTTTCATTTTAATTAAAATATAATTACATTATTCCTTCTTTCCCTTTCCTCCCTCCAATCTCTTCCATGCCTTCTCCCTTTAACCTTTGCATGTCCTTCCCCTACATGGTCTTAAATCATGGCCCCCATTATTATTATTATTATATTATCTCTCTCTTATTCTCTTCCCCCCCACACACACTCATAAACATATAAACACAACCTGCTAAGTCTGTTTAGCGTTGTTTGTATATATATGATTTCAGGGCTAACCACTTGGTATTGAAGACCCAATGAGGGGGTATTTGGCATGAGGCTCAGTCAGTGACAGTGAGATCTTTATTTTTATGCCACTTTTGTTTGTCTGCTGTGTACTTACCATTTCACACTGCTAGTGTCCACTTTTACCTTAGGAGAAGAATGTCACTGTCTGTGTGGTTCATAGACATACATCATTATGGTTGATTTCCTACTCTCGTGATACTTATGGATATGTGAAGAAACCAGAAGAGTAGAATAAGATATCCATAAAAAGACCTATTTTAACATAGTAAATACTAAAGGAGGCATCTCAAATAAGGGAAACTATTTCATACACATTGTTAGGTAACTGTTTAATTAACTGAAAAATAATGAATTTAAGTCTGTATCTCATTACTTATGCCCAGATAAATTCTGAAAGGAACAAAACTTCGCATGTAAAAAATAAAGGCATAGAAGTTCTAGAAATAAAAGAGAACATTAATATCAGAGTGGAAAAAGTCCTTTGTAAAGGTTACTAAAACACACACACACACACACACACACACACACACACACACACACAAACAAAAAACCCAAGAAGGCATGCCAAAATCTATCAAGATTTTTAAGTTCCAAATATTAAGGCTGAGCGATAGCTCAGTTGATATAGTGTTTGCCTTGTAAGCATTAGAACCTGAATTCGGTCATTATCACAGAGTGTAAAAAATTTGGGCATCCTGGTAGAACTTGTAATCTCAGTTCTGGAAAGGTGGAGAAGGGAGGATCCCAGTGGCTCATTGGCTAGCCAGCCTTGCTTAATGGGTGAGTCCCAGGTTCCAGTGAGAATATCTGTGTCTTAAGTAACAAGATGGATGGTTCTTGATGATCCTTGGTTGGTCTATGACCTCTACATGCATGCATACACACACACACACACACACTTGTGTATCCTCATGCACCCCACATATGTGCACATATGGATAACATAGGAGCATAAGTGAAAAATGATACTGCAAATTTCAAATAGATATAATTTAATAATATACTAATTTCTAATGTAAAATGGTTCTTAATAATCCATAAGAATATTCAAAAATATAAAGTTATTTTACTATAAGGAAAATCTAATTTTCTGAAACATGAAAATATGCTCAACATTGGTAAAATTACAGAAAAATGCAAACATCTAAAGCAGAAAAATAGTCCTTCAAAGATGTTCACAACCTAAATGCAAAGCCCCTGTTACTGTTATGTTGGGGATTGGTTCTAATGCTTTGATTTAATGGGAATCTGTGTGTCCGAAATCTGAAGGTCCTTGTGCCAATTGGGTTTTGGTTGATCAATAAAGATGTCAGCAGCCAATGGTTGAGCAAATGGAGATGGTGTGGGACCCTTAGATTTACGCAGCTAGGATAAGGGAGAGAGGAGCAGACAGGGAATCTCCACGGTGTGCTGGGAGACTGATCAAATTTACAGCTGCAAAAATCATCCAGAATGTAGGTGAGAAGAAAGGCAGCCCCTGAAAGGACTGTCCAGAAGTGTCTTGGGCAGCAAAGACTAGGGAGCCACCAGAAGGAACAGGGCAGCAAAATAGATCGTAGATTTAGAGAGTGTTGAGTCAGGAGTATCAGAGGGAAATCTATGATAGCTGGGTGGAGTATTAGAACTGCCCAGCCTTGAGCTAGTCATGGCATATTAAAGTTAAGTGGTGTGTGTGTGTGTGTGTGTGTGTGTGTGTGTGTGTGTATGTGTGTGTGTTTCATTCATGGATCCAAAGAATTCCTGGCCAGGTGTCTGGCAGTGCACAGCCCACTGGGAGCCAAAGTAGGGCAGCTAAACTTACCACTACTCTGTTATACCAGGCAACAAAGATGAATTAAAGTTGAAACTAAGATTTCTTTTCTTTTTCTATGTACATAGCATTTTTTCTAACAGCTAGAAACTAGAAACGACATAGATGTTACCCAACTGAAGAATGGATAAAGAAGATGTGGCACATCTACACAATGAAGTAGTACTCAGCTATTAAAAACAATGATATCACGAAATTTGCAGGCAAATGGATATAACTAGAAAAGATCATCCTGAGTGAAGTAACCCAGATCCAGAAGGACAAACACAGTTTTCACTCACTTATAAGTAAATATTAGCTGTGAAGTACAAGATAATCATGCTACAGCCCATAGACCCAAAGAAGTTAAGTAACAAGAAGGTCTAGAGGAAAGATGCTTGAATTTCACTGAGAAAGGAAAATAAAATGAGACATTGAGAGTGGATGGAGGGAGGCACCTGGGAGGGAAAAAAAGGAGGGGAAATGGAGGATCAAGTGTGGGGAGGATGGGTGAGAGCTGATTGGGAGACAGCCAGAATTGGGAATGGTTGGGGCATCTCTAGGATGAGCTAGAGACGTAGGACAATGAAAACTTCCAGGAATCTATGAAGGTGACTCTAGCTAAGCTTCCTAGCATTAGGGAATATGGAACTTGAGACAGCCATCTTTTGTAATCAGGCAAGACTTCCAGTGGAGAGATGGGGACGCTTAGCTCAACTAAAAAACCTTCAACCCACAATTTTTCCTGCCTAGAAGGTGTTCAGGAATAAAGAGGGAGCAGATACTGAGGGAATGGCCAACCAACAACTGACCCACCT